TGAAGTCCAGACCTCCCCTCTCTGACTGGGAAGATTGTCCCTGAAATCCGGGCCTCCCCTCTCTGACTAGGAAGATTGTCCCCGAAGTCCAGACCTCTCCTGTCTGACTCTCTGAGAAGATTGTCCTCTCTGTCTGAGGACCCTGGACTCAGGAGGAGGAAGAAGGACCCCCTCCTGGCTATCATAACTGCCAGGCCAGCCCCAGTGCCCGGGGAGCAGCCTCCATAGGCAGATACCTTCACCCAGGTCACTGCCTAGATTCGGAAGATGGAGTTCTGCATGGAAATCGGGAGCAGGGCCTGCTTAGCGGTAGCAGATACATCTGGTCTTGCTTTTCTGAGCCATCTTTTCCTTTGGTTCATTTTCTGAGCCAGAGGGTAGGCTGGATCCAAGAATCAGCAGTTCCTTGTCTCCCTCCCTCTGTTAGTGCTTTTGACCTCTGCTGAGGTTCAGCACGTGCCCCATCCCTGAGAGACGCACAGCCACCATGCTGATCGGACCTTGACAGCAGTGCCAAGTACCAGCCTGAGCCAGTGAGTGCTCATGAGCCCATTCCCGCCTCTCACACCCCATCTTTGGAAGGGCCAGCCCGTCCCAAATGCTCACTGTGCTCACAGACACCAAGCTTAACTGCTGTTGCTTAATTCCCGCATAGCTGTCTTCACCGTGGGGAGCCTGCTTCTGTTTTCAGTATTTGGGGGTCCTCCACCTTGTCCAGCCAGCCTGGGAGTTATTCAGGCGCCTGCTTGTCCCCGTGCTTACTTGAGGACGGTCACCGTAGAAAGTGCCGTTGGCCCGATTCCAGACTCGCTGGGTCAGAAGCTCCAGTGTGGAGCCAGAAGTCCCACCTCACCAGAGCCTCCAGGTGATTCTTGGGCACAGTGCCCTAACGTGACAAACATGCTCTGCTGGCACTTACCTTTGGGATAAAACTGGACCTATCAGAGGCATCTTTTCCACACTAAAAAGCCATAATTAAAGTCTAGTCTGGTTTGCTTTTTAGGCAGGGCGTTACGGGTTCATCTGTTTTGGGGGCAGAAGACTAAGGTGAGAGCAGACTCCCACCAGCTCCCGCTGGACATTTAGCGGTCAAGGACGGAGGCGCTGTATGCTCTGCGTCCTGCTGAGTGTGGGGAAGGCCAAAGAGGGGCTGTCTCCTCTAGGAGAGGAGGTGGGCAGACACCATGCCCACCCGTGAGCTGCTTTCATCCGCAACAGCTTGCCTGGAACCCATTTCTGGGACCTCCTGTGCTGGGGTAGGGGACACAGCGACCCTCCCGGGAACACCTGTGTGTGTCCCCACCCCCATGAAGAGGTAACTGTCCGTCGGTGGTCCGCATCCAAAGCAGTTAGTGACTAGATATTCTAGCAGCCACTGTGATGGGCATCTTGAGGTGTCAGCTTGGCCAGGCCGCGGGACCCAGTAATTCAGCCAAATGCCAAGCTAGGTGCTGTTTTTTGCGGACGTGGGTGCCATCTGCAATCGGTTGACTTTAAGTAAAGATTATTCTCGATAACGTGGGTGGGCCTCACCCAAGCAGTTGAAAGGCCTTAAGAACAAAGCTGGGGTTTTCCTGAGGAGGAAGAGATCCCACCTGTGGACTGCAGTATCCGCTCCTGCCTGAGAGCGACCAGCCTGCCAGGCGGCCCTAGCCAGCCCCACAGTCATGTGAGCCAGTTCCTTGAAATAAACCTCTTCGTCTGTATCTCCTTCTGCTTCTGCTTCCCCGCTAGGATTCTGACTGCTGCACTCTCTCAGGGGTGCCCAGGCTGGGGGAGCAAGGTGGGGTTGCTTTGTTCTCTCGCTCCCGTATAGTCATGCGGGTTTAAGACGACTGTCGCTTCCTAACTTTTTCTCTTCCAGGGAAGTGCTGACTTGGTTTGTTGTATTTTTTTTTTTTTCCTCCTGGTCAGTGAGTCACGGGCCAGCCCGGTTGGGATCTGTCGCCGGTCCCCACTGTGTCCAGCGCCCCGTCCTTCCTCCCTGCACTCCCTTCCGATCCACAGGTCCGCGGGAGCAGCAGAACCGGCCTCCCCCCTGAGCCATCAGCAGGGCCAGCTGTGAGTGTTTCTTTGGCAGTGTCTTAGCTGGTTGTTGTGAGTAATAGTGAAGGAAGCAATCAGCAAATATACTGCCCTAGAAGTGCTGCACGTTGATGGGCCCCAGAGGGAAGAGACAGCAAGAGGCGCCCGGGGCCAGCGTGAGCGCCAGAGCCAGGATGTTGGAAGGTTGGTAAGGGCTTCAGGGGGAGCAAGCTCTAGGGCCCCTGGCGCGGTCTGCTCACGGATGTTGAGAGGAAAAAAGCACCGGGCCTGGGGTATGGGATGTGTCTGGTTGGGAGAAGTTTGCACATAGGAGTAATAAAAGCCAGCATTGACAGAACACTTAAGTGTGTGTGCAGCCCTGCTCTGAGCATGGGAAATGTAGTCTCTCAGGAGCCGGGGTCTGTCGTCATTTTTGTCTTACAGAGAAGAAAACAGACATACGAAGTGCCAAAGTCACAAAGGATGCGGCTGATAGAAATAGGGACAGGATCTGAACCCAAGCAGTCTGGCTTGAGAATCCTACTCTTCACCACTGCCCCGTGTCCTTGGAGATGGGTCTCGGGTGGCATCCATGCCCTGTGGACCTGCTTTGCAGAGTGGCCTGAACACAAACACACTTCACCGTTTCTCTTCCCCCACGAGGCAAACTGTGAAGGCAGTCATTAGCTCTGGCGAACGTGCCTGGGTGGGCATTAGGAAATGGGTCTGCCTTGGGGAGAATTTTCCTTTTCAGCCTAGGCCAGGCCCAGGATGTTGACAGGAGTGAGAAGTGGCTGGTGTTTCTGCCCCAGTGGCTGGTGAGGAAGGTTCCTCCATGGGAGCTCAGCAAAAGATAGTCTGATTCTCTGGGTCTGCCCAGCCCCACCTGCAGATGCCAGCCTTGGGTCCAGTGAACTGTGTGGCCAGCCGGATTGCCATGGCAACAGGGAGTAGACCCAAGCCACCAGAGGTTGGAGAGCAAAGGCACACTGGTTACTTGTGCAGGTCTTGGACCACAAGGCACATCCATTAGCAGGCCCCTCGCTTTGACAGAGCCCACTGGAACCAGCCTTTGGTCCTTGTCTGTCTCGAGGTGGTGCCTTTGTGGTCTCTGATTGAGCCGTGAGTACTCCAGTTCTTTGTCCCACTGATTTTTTCCATCCTCCAATCTAGTGCTTATGGGAATTCACGCAAGTCCGAGAGGTGAAGCAAGGCAGTGGTTTACTCCTCTGACCCCATTGACTAAGACAAGCTTCGAGGGCCCGTGAGGGGATGGGGCTTCTGGTACCTTTGATGCAGGCCAAGGACAACACCTGCTGTGACCCCCCAACCTCCCCATGCCCCCGCTGCCCCTCCTCCAGCCACTGCCTGCCCTCCCCTGCTCATGCCCACCTGCCTGGACCCCATCTTTTTTGCCTCTGTCTTGCTGACCTCGGTGCTTCCTAGCACTGAGTGGGAGATGAGCCTGTTTCCATTTGGACCACTTTATGTAAGTCAGAAGACCCCTTAGAGAGGTTTTCTGAGTCTAACCTTGGCCTTGAGACCTCTACTCTGGTCCACGCCAGCCCTCTTTCTCTTAATGCTGGAGAGCAAAGTGGGCAGCCAGGCTCTCTTCAGCAAATTGGATTCCTGTGGGAATTGTTCTGTTTCTCCCCAGCGCTCAGAGGACTTGCTTCAGAGAGGGCCCCTTTGTAACGCACGTTGGACTGGCCACGCCCATGCCCACTTGGCCACACATTCCCCTCTGCTCCCCAGGCCCGTGGAGCCGGGCGTGGGCTGAAGTGGGGCCGATGGAATGCCCGGAATGCCGGCTGCAATGAGCGACCAACGCTCAGATCCCTCACGGGAGTTTTGACCAAGGCAGCATTTGGGATGGCTTCTGAGCCGAAGTCTTTACATTCTTCCCAGTTTTAGGCAGAAGTGAAGAATGCCTGCCTTCTCCCAACCACCAATTGACTCAGGATCTTGAACTTTTGAATTAAAGGGACCACACTCTCGGATTGTGGTCTAACTGGCCTGTTGAGTTCAGGTGAAATTATTTGCGAGTAACCTCTTTTCGTGTCTGGCTTTGCTTTTCGTAAGGCCGACATAGAAACCAGAAAAATGGTGCTTCTCGGATACGGTTCCCCTGCAGAAGTTCCCGGATAGTAAGAACACAAACAGCAGGCTTTGCATCCTTTCCGGTCTTTGTAGGAAACCCATGTCTTTGTGGCGATTTATTTCTGCAGTCTTTAGAGCAGATAGGTAGGATAGACTCTGGCATCTTTGTATCTGACTGTAGTAGAGAAATGTACTTGGTTATGTATCTAGCTCTTTATCTTTCTAGAACTTCTGGGAGACAGGCAGAGCAGCGCTGACTCTGGGAATGGGTTTAGGGTGGATTGGGACAAAGAGGGGCTACTTCTCTCTCCCTCTCCCTCTCTCTCTCTCTCTCTCACACACACACACACACACACACGCCCACTGGCCATGGATTTGGGGGCGCCAACATGATAAGTCGATTGTTCTGGTGACATCCCTGTGCACTGGACACTTGGCCTTCCCCGAGCTTCCCTTTGCTGCCCCCTAACAGCCAGGTGGGCTTCATGGGTATTTCACCTGTGTGTTTAGCTGGGCCTGCCTTTGGACTGTCACCAAATGGAAATTTGTAGTAATTTTCGGACAAGGGTTCCACGTTTTCATTTTGCCCATGAATTGTGTCGCTGTTTTGACGATCAGCCTTCCCTAGGCCTTCAGGCTGCAGGTCACGAGGACTCTGTCGTCCCACATCATACTCATAACCCAGTATGGGTTCAGGCCTTGGTGCCCACTTCCCAGGAGGTCCTGGCTCAGAGCAGGTGCTCCAGCAAAAGACGGTGATTGACTCACCCAGAGGGTCAGGGTGAGTAGAGCTGAGTGGGACCAGAATCCTCCCTCCAGCTGAACCCAGGGCCCCCCGGGGGATACACACAAGTAGGGAACTCAGGTCCTATGCTTGGGGCTGCCTCTCGTGGTAATCAGAAACTGTGGTTCATCAGAATTCGGGAAGGGATTTTTTCAGTTTGGTGAACCGCATCTATTTGGGGATTATATTAATTTGCTAGGGCTGCCCTGGCAACCACAGACCAGGTAACTTGAACAACAAAAATTTGTTTTCTCTCAGTTCTGGAGGCTAGAAGTCCAAGATCAAGGTGTCAGGACGGTTGGTTCCTTTGGAGCCCTCTCTCTTGGCCTTGTAGACGTCCATCCTCCCCGTGTCTCCACATGGGCTCCCCTCTGTATCCACCTCTGTCTAAATTTCCCCTTTTTATAAGGCAATTGGATTAGGACCACCCTAATGACCTCACTGTAACTTAATCACCTCTTTAGAGACTCTGTCTCCAAATAAGGTCCCATCCTGAGGTTCCAGGGGTTAGAATTTCAACATATGAATGGGGGAGGGGAGACAGTTCAACCTGTCTCAGGGGTTTTTCTGGGCACTTCAAAATCTCGTTTTAATCGCTCAACAATTTCTTTCCAGTCTGAAAAGGCGAGAAATGGTCGACTCCCGGGTCTGTTCTCCAACATAGGCAGAAGCCGCATAAGACTCAGTGGCCAGCAGAATGTGGCTGTGGGTGGTTGCTCAAGGGTGTGAGGCGTGGGTTACTTAATACTGCCTTCCAGATAGACACAGGAAGAGTGACGGTACAGAGGATGGGAGCCAGCTGTCCCCCGAGTCCTGTGGGGCCTCAGCGAGAGGAAATGAGTGTGAGCAGGAGAATTCTGGTCAGAGCTGGGAAAAGACCTTCAGGCAGGGGGTGGGGGTGGGGCGGATGTCGGAGGCTGAGGTCGGGAGGGCAGGAAGTGTGGTCTGGAGACCTGCACTCGGTCACCTGAGGTGTCCCGGGAGGCAGAGCCAGGCTTACAGTGTGGCTCCCAAATGGTCCTCGAGCTTTGGGAGCCCTAAGACTGATACCCCCGTCTTGGGCTAGGTCTGGGAAGCTCCCCACGTGAGGTGATAATTATTGAAGCTGGTTCATGGCTTCCTGGGGGTTCATATACTTTTGTACTTGTTTGAAATTTTCGTAATTAAAAAAAAATTTTTTTTAAGAGAGGGAGGAGCATCTGGCTGGCTTAGTCAGTAGAGCATGTGATTCTTGATCTCAGGGTTGTAAGTTCAAGCCCCCCGTTCGGTGTACAGATTACTTAAAATCTTAAAAAGAGAAAAGGGGTGGGGGGAACTCCCAGGAGCTTCAGCTGCCAGCCCTGGTTAGGACAAAGACGGGAGGGAGAAAGCATTGAACCTGCCCCTGGGCTTCCCTGACCTGGGGAAGCAGCGCCTCCGCGTGGCGAGAGGTGGAACTACTCTATAGCCGGATAACGACTGGCAGTCGGGGTCCAGGACAGTGTGTGTCCCAGGAAGACAGCAGAGGGGGAAGCCAGGCAAAACCCCACAGCAGGCTCTTCACCTTTGTTATGCCACGGTCCCCTGTGCCCATCTAGTGATGGCTGTGGACCCAAAAGATAAAGGTGAAAAATAAAATACGTGTTATTACAAAGCAGAACAATTATAATGCACTGTAATTATCCAAATAGTTGATAAAGCCAAATTTGTTGTAGGGTAGATATGTGCCCCTTATCAGCATATTTTTTTTTTAAAAGATTTTATTTATTTGTCAGGGAGAGAGCGCACAAGTGGGGAGTGCGCAACATAGACCGGGTCCCTGCCCTTATCAAGCACTCAATTCTCCGGAGAGACAGGTGATCCCATGTTCCTATTGAATACATTAGGTAATGTATAACAATGTTTCCTGCATAATTGTTAAATAATTCTTCATAGTGAACGTTTTCTCTTAATCCTGTTTGCTTTAAAGCCGAGTTTTCAACCTAGTGAAGTCCAGGGTCCCTCTTTATAAAGCAAAAGAAATCTTACATTTTCTGGAAGATTCGGAAGGGCTTCTGGGAAGCAGGGGGTGCTCATGTCTTTTATCTCCTCCCCAAACTCCTTAAGAGTCACTGCTTATTCACAGAAGCACTATTCACAATGGCCAAAAGGTGGAAATGACCCAGGTGTCCGTCAACAGATGAATGGAGAAACACAATATCCATACAATGGAGTATTATTTGGCCATAAAAGGAAACGCAGTGCTGTGCACAGGCTATAACGTGGGTAGACCTCAGAGACATTATGGTAAGTGGAAGAGGCCATACACAAAAACACTCGCTGTCATCTGCTTCGGTTGGTGTGAAATGTCCAGAAAAGGCAAATCCGTAGAAACAAAAAGTAGATTTGTGGTTGCCAGAGCTGGGGAGAGGAGGCAGTGGGGAGGTATTGCTTAAGGGGTACAGAGTTTGTTTGGGGTGACAAAAAAGTTTTAGAAGTCGTGGCGATGCCTACGTAATCTTGTGAATGTCATCAATGCCATTGATGTGTGTACTTAAAAAGAGTTAAAATGGCAATTTTTTGTGATATAGATAGATAGATAGATGTTTTACCACAATTACAATTAAAAAAAAAAAGTCACTGCTTAAAGACATCTTTCTGGTTACACCGAGTCATCCCATCATCCCCAGTCATGCAGCGCCCCAGGCTCCCATACTCAGTCCCCGGGAGCTCTCAAGTCTCGTGGCTTAAATGCTGCCTTTATGTTGATGGCCTCCAATTCCCATCTCCAGATAGGACCTCCCCCAGAACTCCGACCCCCCACCACTTGGCTTGTCCAACAGTAACGTAATGTGTCCAGAGTCGATCTCCTGCCGTTGTCTCCCCGTAAACCTGCTCCCTCCAAGTGAAGAGCAACTCTGTCCTTTAATCTTAGAAGTCTAGAATCTTCCTTGACTCCTCATGGGCTCACACTCCCATCTGAGCCTCCAGTAAATTCTATCATCTCTGCATCCAGAACCATATCCATGACCTCGGCCTCCACCGTCCCTCACCTAGATGATGCAGGGGCCTCTAAGCCAGGCTTTATTTCTTACAAGAGCTTGAGGCACACCTCTGCTCAGCCCTCCAGTGGCTCCTATGTCCTTCAGTGTGTAAAAGCTAAAGCGCTCACGTTGAGTGAGGGCCTTGTGTGTTCTCCCTGCCTCTGTTCTCTTTCCTCTCCGTCGCTGCACCAGCCACAGTGGCTCCTTGCTGTTTCCTGAACACAGAAGCCATGATCCTCCTCAGGGCCTTTGCATGTGCTCTTTCCTCTGCCTAGGATGTTCTTCCCCTGTGTGTCCCAATTCTCGCTCTCTCACTTCAGGCAGGATCTTGTCAGATGCCATCCCATTAGTCACTTTCTCTGGACACCTGTATGAAGCACCCCCATCACCCCCTCTCCCCCCAGCACACCCTGGCCCTATTACCTGGCTTTACTTCTCTCCCACACTTACCACCGTTGGATATATTGTGTATTTGTTGATTGTTTATCCTTTCTCGACCAGAAGGTAAACTCCTGGAAGGCAAGGATTTGGTTTTGCTCACTGTCATTACTTCAGATAATTAGCAGCGGCTCAATAGATATGTGTGGAATGAATAAATCATTGGAACCCTTGATTCACTGAAATTATACAATATTCTTCAAACACTACTTAATAAGCATTAATAAATGACTTGACATATGTATAATAATGCCACTTTACAAAATAAAACCCTGGGCTAAAGAACCCCAGACCTATTTTCCTTGTATTGGTTATTTTTGTTTGTTTGTTTTTATTTTTTAAAGATTTATTTATTTATTTATTTGACAGAGAGAGAGAGAGAGAGAGCAAGACAGTGAGAGAGGGAACACAAGCAGAGTGAGTGGGAGAGGGAGAAGCAGGCTTCCCCCCAAGCAGGGAGCCCGATGCGGGGCTCGATCCCAGGACCCTGAGATCATGACCTGAGCCGAAGGCAGCCGTTTAACCGACTGAGCCACCCAGGTACCCCCTGTTTGTTTTTGTTTTAAAAGATCTTTTTCAGCAGTCTCTACACCCCATGTAGGACTTGAACTCACAACCCTGAGAGCAAGAGTCATGTGCTCCATCAACTGAGCCAGCCAGGTGGCCTGTATTGGTTGTTCATATTGCTTAAG